CTTCTATATAAACATATAATGTAGTGTACGAGATATACACACTGAAGCTTGGTTTATCTTCTATATAAACATATAATGTAGTGTACGAGATATACACACTGAAGCTTGATTTATCTTCTATATAAACATATAATGTAGTGTACGAGATATACACACTGAAGCTTGATTTATCTTCTATATAAACATATAATGTAATGTACGAGATATAGACATTGAAGCTTGATTTATCTTCTTTATAAACATAAGTGCGAGATATACACATTGAAGCTTGATTTATCTTCTATATAAACATATAATGTAGTGTACGAGATATACACACTGATGCTTGATTTATCTTCTTTATAAACATATAATGTAGTGTACGAGATATAAATACTGAAGCTTGGTTTATCTTATATATAAATATATAATGTAGTGTACGAGATATACACACTGATGCTTGATTTATCTTCTTTATCTTCTTTATAAAAATTTTTTTTTCTTTATTTGTAGTTCCATTTTAGGTATTGTTTAAACATTTAAAATATTTTTTTCGAAATGAGATTTTGAGGTTTTCGTCTGGATAAAAAAACAAGCAATAATCGTTTTCTTCTACTAAACATTTAACGATTTTCTCAGTACCTGCATTCGAGAACATTTCCTCTTACAGTGATGGCGTTTTATCTAAAAACCAGCGATTTTAGATTTTCTCACTGCTTCTTTAAAAAAAAAAAAGAGAGAGAAATTATTGGTTTTCGATAGGCTAAAACCATCGCTTTGACATTCATGAACATACATGATGTAACGACATTATAAGATTTGTTTTGGCTTCTTAATCTCCACCCCCTGATTCCCTCCCCCCCCCCCCCACATACTTGACGAAGGATCCTGGATGGACCGTTTGCGCGGCCTCTGAATCGAGTCAATCCGTTCGTCAATAGCCAATTAAAATCCTTTAGGCACATGCCGTAACAACCGCGTCTCTCCTCTGAGCTGGGGGTCAATAATGGAATAACGACTCCACTTCTGCAACAAAAGGAATCGCAGTGGATATTATGGATATCTAAGCCTTTTGAAGTTCCTTTCTGCTCAGCAAATGCGCAAACTACCTATGATTCAGCTACCAAACATTTAAACAACCATATAGTTTATTTTATTGATTTTCTGTATAGTGTACGTCATTGTTTTTCTAATGATAAAGACCAGTCAATAAACTTTGTATGGTTGTTAATTTCAGACACGACTCGCTACATTCTACCATGTCGGAAGAGAAGGAACTCTGCAGCGCCGCCTGGTTTCAAGCAGGGATTCCCAGGTAGGCTAGTCACTGTTTTTTTTTTCAAACTAGAAAACTTGGGAAATAATTTTGTAGCGCCACGGTAAAAATAATTTAAAATATGAAAACATTTTGAAATATCGTTGCTAACAGAAAAAAAAAGCGCTAATATTTACAATTGCGTTTTAAGCAGCTGCTGTTTCACACGTTTTCAGGCTTACTGTTAAGTTTAAAAAGAAAACGTAACAGTCAGTAAGATGTACAATAACAACATTTTTCTTCTGGCGCGAAAGATCAATGAACACAAGAGCCCAAGTGGTTCAGTGATGTTCATATTTTTTTAGAACAATCCTTTTCTGATTCGTTGATAGTGTATTTTATTTTATAGTGTTTAACTAAGCTTGCACATTCTTGTGTTTGTTATGGTGCTAATCTAAGCTTGCACATTCTTGTGTTTGTTATGGTGCTAATCTAAGC